CAAATTTCACAACACTTTCTTATGGAACTTGCCTTTAGTTAGAGAAACTATCAACAAAAAGTTTAAAAGTTATGGAATGTGAAAAATTATCGACTTCAAAGCTTTCCTTGATATCACATCAAACATTAAGACATCTAACAAGTAGAAATCTATCATTTTTTTTTATTAATCTACCTTTCATTAGGCTTATAGAAATGCCATGGACTGTTGCAGGGTGTTTTTTTTCCCTGAAACAAATCTCCCTGAACACCACATTGGGTAGCTTTAAGAACCCGAGTCTTCGAGATATCTACAGTAGTAGCCTAACCTTGGCAAACTATTTAGTATGTTGAAGATCTCATATCATTGAAGAATTTTGTCCTACCAGACTGTACAGAAAATAATCATTGACCAATCTGTCGATGAACAATATTATTTCCATAAATTGGATCAATTTCCTGCTCTCCAATATTTATTAATATTCCTAGGATTATTTTCCTCAAGCTCTCCCTGTACAGCTGTAATAAGCCTAGGTTGCACTTTATTATTTTAAATAATTGTGTAACTCTTGTGAATGAATAAAGCAAACAAATCTTTTCTAATTTGCATCACAGTAAAACAGCATAAATCAAATTATCATGTGGAAAACCACACTTAGATATGTAAAGCACAAAATATGGGATTGTCAAGATATTTGATTAGGGAAGAGGACAAACCTGGTCAATTGCACAGGGAATCAAGCATCGAAGATTATGTTTACCGGTGAAGAGATGTGGAAATGAACTCGGAAAGGATGGAGCAGCCTAAAATTATATAGAATTATGTAACTTAGAAAGGCTATAAAATTGGGGACGTGAGAGTTGAGAAATAAGTGTAGCTCGAGAACTATTGTAACATCATTCAAATGAAAATAAATAGGAGTATTGACCCTTTTATGAAGCTTTTTCACTGATTTTTGTTATCTTTTAATTGAAAAAACTCATAATTAGAGGGGGATGAATTGTTGTCTTAACAAAATATGGTTAACATATTCCTTTTAACAATAACTGGCCCAAGAAAAAGATATACAAAGTTGCATGGAAAAAAGTATACAGAATTAGGAATTCACAGAGGTCAATTCTGAAATCTAAGGTCTTGAAATTTCATAATAGACTGAACTTCAAATTCCAGGATTCACTCTACCTTTAAGAGAGTTACAGAAAATAGAGACATTCCACATTTTCACATTAAAGCTGTTAAAGTTCATACGATATGCATATAAAATAACAGGGAGAGTGAGTGTGTTCTATCCAACACAAGGCCTAGGTCAATCTTTGTCCTCGCTTTATGGAATTCATGTAATCAAGTTGAATCCAAGCAAACATTTTGTCGAATTGTTAAGCTCCAAAATTTTCAAGATGCTCCGGAAAAATTTAAGATAGTTCCCAAAATGGGTAGGTCCATAGGGAATATTGAGGCAAAGGGCTGCTGTTAAGTTTGGGATAGAGTGATCAAAGCAACACTCATAATAGGGACCACAAGCGTAAATAACTCCACAGGTGACAACAGTCACCCCCTCCATTGAGAGACTACAAAAATGACTCAGACTTCTTGCAGGCCTTGAAAACAAGCACATAAACATTGAGAGATGTTATGTTTCAGATAATGCAAACGGACTGTTAAGTTTTTCCACTGCGAACCATCAAAAGCTGAAGTTAAAATGTGCTAGTTAGATTTTTTATCAAGGGGAGTTTTTATCCTGATGGGACCAATAGCTCAAGCAGTTGCTTTCTCGCTTTTCCTTTTCCTGTATAAAATCTTTTGAAGATGGGAGTTTTGACTTTAAATAAGCAATTTCTCTTTCTTTCTTAGCTAAATGCTATATATTTTTCTCATTTAGTTCCTGAAGATGCATCAATTGGTGGTCTAAACCTGTTGCTCATTCTCGTATATTATCTTGTCTGCATGCCTGTAATCTCTCATTATTCTTCCTATTTCTCAGATTTTTATAGTTTTAATAGAGGATCCCATTTGGAGTTATATTTTATTTTATGTTTTTTCACAATTTCCATGGTTTGCATATGCTAGATTTATCCTTTCCTACTAGAGTTTGGAGCTTTCATATGTCAGGTGTGTTGTCATGTAAATATTTTTTCTCCTACCTTTTGCCGTCTCAAACTTCTTTGATTTTCCCGATTGAAATGTTTCATTTGGAATTCAAAGTTTAAATGTTTGTGCAAGATGCTTGGTGAAGTAACTATATGGACTCTCATCTTTTCATGCACTATACTTCCACTAGGTTGACTTGGTTGAGTGTTTGGCAACATTGTAGAGTTTGTTATCACGTCCACATCTTTGGTTGATTTATTTTATTCGATGTTATGGGTTCTGGAAATAGGAAAAACAATGAAATTTTATGGTACTGTTGCATGATTGCCACATAATGATATGAATGGTTTGAGAGGAAACAAGAATCTATCATGAATTTTCCCAAACTGTTGTATGATTCTTACTAAAAATATTTTTCCAAAACCACTATTACAATCTTTAAAACTCAGGAACTTCAATAGTACAATCGATCATGAAATGTGTTAAAAGGGTTTCTACCTGAACAGGTGGAAAGCTAACTTTTCCAATGTGATCTTCGCCAGTGAAACCAAAAATACCAACTACCTACAAAATCAACCAAATGTTGTTTTCAGATTTATAAGCTAGAAGCCGATAGTCAATATAGCTCATGGATGCTTAACAGAAATTTCAAAGAAAGGAACAAGCATATAAAACATTCTCAAAACCCCTAATCACCTTATTATATGTGACACATTTTGCAATCTTGACCATGTTCTTGTAGAAGGAACTGCAAAAAAATATTCACATGTAAAAGAAATAGTCATTATATCGAACAAGTAATGAATCTGGTATATATGAATGTAACTATGGTGATCAAAGAAACCAATCTAAGCCAGAATACACAATGGCCCATGTCATTTATGACTTATAGCCAATAAGTGGTATATAATTATTTCCAAAGTGATCAAGACATTCACAATTGACCAGCCTTTTGAGTTCAAAATGGCCATTAACTTCACTCCGCTTCGAAAAAGACCACAAAAAGTAGAACTGACTTACAATTTAAACTACTTACCCACCAACATAATCAAAATCCGAGAATATAAATGTCTTCGAAACGTCAAACCCACAAGCAATTATATCTTTAGCATTTTCACGTGCCAATCTCTGGCTCTCCTCCACTGTTAAATTCTTCCACATGCACTTCTCATCATCAGTTAGCTGTATCACAAGTGGCACCTTAAAGGCATCCTGCAAGTACCTAAAATCACCCACCAGCAAAGGAATATATAAAAGAATCAATATAAATGCTTAGTTTTCTACTCCTCTTCTTAAATCTCCATTCAAATGATACTTGATAACACCTAAAAGGAGGCAGAAGATGTAATAACTGTACATAGTGCATTACCTTCATGAATGTACCCTTAAACAAATAACAGTTCCAAAATCTCATCATATAAAAATTCATTCAAAACTGTAAATGGTGAACACGGGAAGCTTGAACAGCCTTCGCCTTATGCCTGTCAAGGTATCATCATAGCATCACAATGTAAAAAATGATTTTCCTGTTCTGAACATGGTGATTTCAGAGGGTCATACATTAATTACTTTCAGTTACTATAAAATACAATCTTACTCATTCAAAAGGAACATACTTGTATGTGTGGTAAATAATAAGCCTGAGCATTTTTGGCAGTGGCTTTTACGTCCTGCTTCATGACTTCTACTTTATTTTCAATTCTCAATTCAATGGAGCCCAATTCATTCAATTAATCCAATTCCTCCAAAAGCAAATCATGCCTCACATATGAGAACCCTTCAAATGTAAAAATTTAAAACAACATCGAAGCACGAGGCATTACAATGCCTGCGGTACTTCATGCTTTTATTTTCACTGTAACTTATTCATTTCCAATTAAATCAAAAACCCAGACAAAACCCACCATAAAATTCACTTCCAACAGTATAAAAAAGGAAAAAGAAAAGAAATTGTTCGATTACTTGGTAAACATGAAAGGAACGAGATGGCCCAAATGCAAGGCCTCCGATGAAGGCCCACGTCCAGTGTACAAATAAAACTTCTCCCCTTTTTCATAGGCATCCAGAATCTCATTGAAATCCCGGTGTGCGAAGAACACACCGCGGCTGAGGAAGACATGAGGCGGGCGGCCAGTGAGGCGGGCAACGCGATCGATTATCGACTGGTCAAGGCGCTGGCAACCAAACTTTTCAATGAGCTTGTCGTAGTCGATTTTGCCTTTCGCTGAAACTTCCCATGGATTTACTACTTGTTCTTCTTGCTCTTGGTTTTCGCTGGAATTGNNNNTTGCTCTTGGTTTTCGCTGGAATTGGTTTTGTCCATATTTTTTGCCGGCTATTCAATCAAAGAAATGTGATTTGGTTTGGATAGGAGGATTTTGAAAGAGAAGATCGAAAGTTGAGGTTTGGAGCGTAGGAAGATCAAAAAATGGGGTTTTAGGCTTTCAGTTTTAGAGTGTGTGTGTTAGTGTGTGTGAGGATTTTAATGCATTTAAAATTGAAAATACGGAAATATAGTCCTTATTGGATCTTACTCGTCTAATAAAAGTAAAAAATAACGACTAATTTTTCAATTTTAATCCGATTTTAATTTCTACCAAACAAGTTCTTAGCCTCAAAATTTGTATTTTACGTTAGAAATAAATTTATTATTTTTACTTAGTAATCCTCCTTTATCCTCGTTTACAGAGGGGATCCCAAATTTACTGTTCATTTGAAGCCTCCTTTTCACACTACTGTAGCTAACTGGTGTTTCACTANTTGCTCTTGGTTTTCGCTGGAATTGTTTTTGTCCATATTTTTTGCCGGCTATTCAATCAAAGAAATGTGTTTTGGTTTGGATAGGAGGATTTTGAAAGAGAAGATCGAAAGTTGAGGTTTGGAGCGTAGGAAGATCAAAAAATGGGGTTTTAGGCTTTCAGTTTTAGAGCGCGTGTGGGGGTGATTTTAATTTAATTAAAATTGAAAATACGAAAATACCGAGTCTCACTCGTCTAGTAAAAGTCAATAATAACAACTAATTTTTCAATTTTAATCCGATTTTAATCTCTACCAAATAAGCTCTTAGCCTCAAAATTTGTATTTTGCTTTAGAAATAAATTTATTATTTTTAACTTGGTAATGTGGGAAAAAATTTTGCTTTTCTAGGGTGTTTAAATTTAGAACATTACCATTCACCATTAGCACCTGTTTAAATGACAACACATGATAAGATCCAATTAAATGAATCTCATAATAACACATTTAGTGTCTGTCTAGTCTAGATTTTTCATGGATTAAAATTAAGACGATGACCGTTAGTAGGCCCTACATGAAAGATAGACATTCAACAATTGCGGCTGAGTGCTTAAAAAAGGGTCATAAAAATGCTTAAAATCAGGCTAAAAATCTCCACCAGGCACTTAGTTAGACCTATTATTTAGCACTTGTTTGTCTCCTGTTATGGGAGAAATAATGATGTTTTGAATAGTATTTTTTGGAGAATGTGTGGTTAAAATTGAAAGAAACTTTATTGATTTATGTGTAGAATATTTTATTATTTAAATGTGTGGTCGAGATTGATTACTGTAGAAAATAATGTTTTGAAAAAT